TGGAATCTTCAGCTCACTCGCAGGCACAGGCAGAGGTTCTTCGGCAAAGTAGCTATCATGGAGCAGCTCGGCCGCCATAGCTCGAGCAGCAGGATTGTAGCTGAGCAGCCTCCTCACAAGATCAACTTCAGCAGCAGACCTGTCGGGAAGGCATGCTTCCAAGCCAATCGGGCTATCAACCTTCCCGAAGGAGATCTTGTTATAATCAGGCAAGTCTAAGCAACCTGACCAGGTTTCTTCTGTCAGGTCACCCAATACGCTGATGATTTTACTCAGTTGATCTATGTCTGACGTCCCTGGAAATAGAGGATCTAAACTGAGAAGCTCTGCAAAAACACAGCCTAGCGACCAGAGGTCGACCTCTTGTCCGTAACTTGTCGATCCATAGAGTAGCTCAGGAGCTCTAAAACACCTTGTTCCAACACATGAAGTCAGAGCACCAGATTCATCTACTATATCATCTTGTGCCTCATCATACGTATAAGAGCCCTTGAGGGGATCTACCTCGATGTCACCTGTACTGCAGGTGGCCAGACAAGATGTATCGCCGTCTTGCAAACTCATATCCTTATCGCTGTCGTACATCATATTCTTTGCTCTCATGCCATACAAATCCTTCATGTAGTCATCTTCGTTGACATGCCGAGGACCTGGGATATTCTGGTTCTCGGGTCTTGGATCCTCGGGCCATGATACATTCCCCTCGTGTTGAATTGTAGGTTGTTGCTGAATCCATGTCTCGTTCTCTGGATTGATATCAAGGGATGTCAATCTAGTTTCCTGAAGCATCATCGACTGCCAAAGACAAATAGATTCAACAATCACTGACAGAAAGCTGTTCATATATCGAATACAATATCTACAGGTAGCAAAAGTATAATTCAAGTAACAAAGGAAAAGCAAAGATAATAACAAGAAAAGGAGCTAACTGCAAATACATTTACTGTCTAAGCTGACACGGTATATTTTTCTGAATGCTACAGTTTCTCATAGATGTAACTGTGTATATTATTATTTCATAACAAAGCAAAATGTCAAGAACATTGTACACACCAAAAGTGACAATAAAATTAATTCATTTAAGAGAAAGATTACTAAAATTCCAACATGTACAAAATACATTTTGTAATTCAGAACTAACTGATAACACACCCACAAAAAGCTTCTTTGAGATACCACAAGAGAAAGATTATGTAAAATATTATATGTTTAAACTACAATGCAGAGCCAATATGCTTTTCAGAATATATTCAGTAAAGTGTATATATATATATATATATATATATATATATATATATATATATATATATATATAATTAAAGTACATGTATACATTATTTGTTATCTAGTGAGTTTAAGTATCAGGAGTCACAGCATTTTAAGCAAAAAAAAAAACTGCATTATTGGTTTAAATGTATGTTTCTCATTCCATGAAGCTAATGCCCTTTGTTGTTAGTACTCACAACCTTACGTCACAACGAAACCTTTCATATGGGAACTCTAAATCATGTGTATATCTTTATAGTTCTTTCCAAGCTTCTACATTGCTTATCGGAAGTAAATATCCTCTGCATTCAGACTTCAAAAAATACAAATTTAAAAATTCTTAAAAAATACATGTTAAATACAATTTTTCATATATTGAGTTAAATCCATTCTCTCCCATAGTTTTAATCCACAAGTTCAATTCCACAACATCTCCAAGTTTGAGAATCTTCCTCTTTATATAAAAGTGATTTTCCTACAAATACAACTACTTCCTCTAATTTTTTTTTTTTAACTTACCGAGTCTTTCAAATAAATTTTCTACTGATCACTTCAATGCCTCAACATATACCACAAGATCCTGAAGTTTCATCTTTTTTCTGGCTTAATGTCACTTATAGTAGTTTCTCCACCATAAACCAATATTTTCTGACCAATTTGCACTAATTGCTTATACGCTTTCATCAAATATCGGTGAATGTATATCTATTTTCTAATCTCAGTAGTAGTATATCTTTCATGCAAACCTTCATCATCTTTGATGTTATATAGATCCATTTAATCTCCAGTCTTCCTTTCTTCCTGAAATAGTTCCACATGTTCTTCCTGGCCATCTTTGGAGACATATCGTAACCAGTATCTTATGCCTTAAATTTCACCTTTTCCTAACCATTTAATATTAAGTCCAAATTTCATTACAGAAAACTTCACAATTTACCAACCCCTTTATTCCATCATCGATTATTTCATAGGTCAAATGACACTTTTAGATTCTCTAAAGTTTTTTACTATTTGTCTAATCTTGTTAGCCATCAAATCTTATTTTATATGATATGCAAAGGTCTGGGGTTAGCCGATCCAGATTTGGAGCGACTGGGTGCAACATTCAAGCACCTGAAAGAGTAGAAGACAGATCAAACTCAGACACAAAGGTACATAATCAACCAAGTCTCTGTTGGAGTTGGCCAAGAACCACTAGTTTCATCCAATTCCAACCTGTTCATATTGAATTCCTAACAACCATAATAGGTTATTATCAGAGATGTTCAAGCTAATCTTATCTTATCCAAACAATTATTCGGTCAATCTCTTCTCAGATTGGTAGGGGGATCCAAGCCGTCTAGCTTGGATCCCCCTACCAATCTGAGAATGAAGCAAGCAGATGATGATGAGCTCTGATTGATACCTGTCCGAAATCCGCAAGCTTTAGAACCCCATCGGCCGAGATCAACAAGTTCGACGGCTTGAGGTCGCGATGCACCACCGAGCTCCGGTGGCAGGCCTCGACCGCCCGCAGAATCTGGAGCATCCACTGCTTCACCTCGCCGATGGCAATCCCCGCGCCACCCCTCTTCGCCTCCAGGATGACGGCGCCTAGGTCGGCGGGCAGGAATTCCAGCACGAGCACGGCGTCCTCTTCGTCCTCGTTCCAGAAGTACTCGATGAGGTCGACCACGTTGGGGGCGCCGCGGAGGGCCTGGAGGGCCTCGATCTCGCGGAAGGAGCTCTGGTAATCATGTATCTCCTTTAGGGCGACGACCAGGCCGTCGGATCGGCGGCGTCCGCGGTATACGTCGGCGTAGGCGCCGGAGCCGATCCGGCCGAGGATCTCGTACCGCTCTATGATCTCGCCGCGGCCGTAGATGCTCCAGCTCCGAGACGAAGTCTGCGACGGCATCTGCGGCGGCGGAGAGGAATCCATGGAGCGTCTCTTGGTTGCGTTCGGTCAATGGCGGAGGGAAAGAGTAATCCAAGAGGATGAGATCGAAGAGAAAATTATAAGAATTCATATTCCAATAATAGTTTTTTTCTTTTTTTGCGGACCTCTGTTTTTTCACTTGTTTATCATTAAAATAGCGATTTAAATAAAAATAAAAAAATAGCTCATATGTTTATTCAATTTTATTATTATATTTTTTAATGAATAAAAAACGATTTTTTGAAAGAAAAAAAAAAGGCACTTTTTTTTTTAATTTATAAAACTTAAATTGCTGCTCTTTTTATAAACTCTCCAAAATTAAAACCATTGTTAGTAATTAATTAAAAAATTCTTCAATGTTGTTTGTGATGTAAAATTTTGTTATTGTGGTGGTTTGAAGTTTCTTCTTTCAATCAGTATTATATACTTCACATTTTGATACATCAGGCAATTTTCATTGGTGATTTCATGCTATTATTTCTTATCTTCTTTACATTGGTGATTCTTCATCCCTTCAGGTTCATTTTCTCTGCTCCCTGTGCTATGGAATTCCTGTGTTTTGTTTGATTCCCCACCAAAGTGAAAGAAAACAAAGTCTGATGTTTTTGACTTTTAGCTAACCAAAGGTTTCTCTCTCTATGGAAGCAGTATAATTGGAGAGAAAATAAGATGATAAAAAGCATCTTCTTGTGTTTTCTTCCTGAATCAAACATCAATAATTTTTTGATCTTTCTTTCCTTTTTCTTATTTTTATTTTCCTGCCACATAAGTCAAACATTCTGTAAAGAATTGAGTAATTGCAAGTGATGAAGAGCCGAAGAAAGGTCTCAGGCAATCCACAGGCAGACACTGCAACTCTTCCCCTGCAATTGCCTTCTCTGTTCTTTCATCAGACTCTGCTTTCATCGAATGTCACTGACCTGGCCAAGATCACCATGCCCTCAGATTCAAAGGTCCTGTGCTTTAACAATGTCAAACACGCGTGGAGACTTTGGGGACACCACTTTGTTCTTAGAGCAGACACTTGCATGTTCTATCCATTGACATCCTTCCTCGACGTGGAAATGAACAAGTCTGAGTTGACCACAAGGCACCAGTATCACCTCAATCATCTGATCTAGTAAACCTCCATCATTTGGATGCAGTGCTCCCCCATGTTCTCAGTTCTTCCTCTCAACCATAAGCTGTTCTGCAAATTTCTACATAGTTTATTATTGTGTTGCATTTCATGCCTTAATTTATCGTATACACCTGCAAGTGGATTGTTGATCGTCAATGGTATCCTCTTCTTGTCTCTTTAAATTTGCTAAGACATACTCGGTCATTGACAGTTCATTTGGGGGTGGCAGAAGACTTGTATGTAATGCATGCAACAATGACAATCTTTGGGTGGAAGATGGATAGTGGCATTGACGGGACATATACTACACATATATCGCAGCAATTTGCAGCTTGTTTAGTGCAATTTACTTGAGAGATGAAGAAAGGTTGCGTTGACCCGGAAATTTTAAGCTATCGAAGTCAGAGTCAACCGAATCCATTGCCCAGCATTTTCCTGTGGGACAGCTCGGGTTGTGGCGATCCCATAAACTATCATAGTCAACATGACTTTTAGTGCTGCTGCTGTTCTGGCGATTCCTCGGTTCATGTCTTAATCGTTGAAGGTGCAACTTGATACCGTGTTAGTCAACTTTAGCACACCCTCCTTGGAAGCATCCCATTGCGGCGATCGATCAGTACAGTTTCGTGTTTGACTTTGGAGAATGATTTGGCTTCTGACATGTTCAAACCATTTGCCAGTGAGTAGAAGATATTATGGATTGCTTGCAGTGCCTCTTCCGCGGGATATATGAGTGAGTGATTGAGGACGGGGTCAGAAACCAGTTTGCCAGCTGCAATGGGGAGAAGCAAGACCAACGCCAACCGACCGACGGCCAGCGAGGAACCCGCGGGCTACCGCGGTGGTGGACCGCCGGCCGGGGACGACGATGGGGAGAATCCACAGACGGTGATGTTTCCCCCGCCGCAGGCGGCGGGCCTTGGGCCCACGAAACGCTCGTCGGCGGCGGATAAGCCCGGCCGTCGTGGTAGACCGGTGGATGAGTACCCTCATGAACTGATGTTTCAGCCTACGGCGCAAAGCCGCCCCGGTGGCTCGGTGGATGAGTATCCTGAGACGGTGATGTTTCCTCCTCCGGCACCCGGCGGATCAGTGGAGGAGTACCCTGAGACGGTGATGTTTCCTCCACGAGCACCAGGCCACGCCGGCGGCTCGGTGGACGAGTATCCTGAGACGGTGATGTTTCCTCCTCCGGCACCCGGTGGATCGGTGGAGGAGTACCCTGAGACTGTGATGTTTCCTCCGCGGCCACCAGACCACTCCGGCGGATCGGTGGAGGAGTATCCTGAGGCGGTGATGGTTCCTCCTCCGGCGACAGGTCGCCCAGTTGGACCAGTGAAAGGGTACCCGCCGACGGTTGTGTTCCCTCCGACGCAGCCGCGTCCCCCTCGTGTCGTTCATGGTTCACAAGCGCAACTCCCCCAGCCGAGGCCGCAGCCGCTTCCTGCGCCTTCTCCGATTGCCTACGGGAATCCATGGTCAACGGGACTATTCGATTGCGAAGGGGATTCAACAAACAGTAAGACTTCGTTGCATGATCTGCAAAAACATCTCCGCGACGCTTTAAACCATGAACTCATGATTAGTCAACCCCTTTGCATGGCTTCTTCCTTCATAAGAGACAACTGCATCTTCGCTGCCCAGAACTGAAGCAAAGATCGTGAACGAGTCTGTTTGCTTAGTTCATACATGCAAGAATGTGTTTGTAGACGTTTAACGGTGGTCTTCTCCTTGCAGCGGTCATGACGGCCTTCTTCCCCTGCGTCACCTTCGGTCAGATCGCTGAGATTTTGGATCAGGGACAAACATGTAAGCAGACACAACTTCACTTCTTTGCGTCACCCCAAATTAGCTGGTTCATGCTGAGAATAATCTGACCATGGTGATGAACTGGCTGTGTAGCTTGCACTCTGGGGAGTCTCATGTATGCTCTGCTCCTGCCAATTCTCTCCTGTGCGATTGTTGGCACGCCTTATCGATCGAGGCTGAGGCAAATGTACAACCTGGTTGAAGCTCCCGGAGAGGATTGGATTCTCCATATCTTCTGTCCATGCTGCGCCCTCTGCCAAGAGTACAGAGAGCTCCAACACAGAGGATATGATCCTTCTGTAGGTAAATGACTTTCGTCAGCTGATCTCCTAATAAAGGAAATTAATTAGAAGAAGGGAGGAAGAATAGACTCACATATTTGCACTCGTTTCTCTTGCCCACTTTCTATGGCGAGGTAGTCACCGGTGCTGGTTGTGCTTTGTTGGCAGGTTGGATGGGTAACCTTGCTCTTCAACAAGCGAAGACTCCTCCCAGGACGTCGCCTATGCACAGATGAGACATAAGGAGAATCTTGTTGCAGTAAAATGTTTTCCTCTGTTCTTGTAGCTTTCACCTTAAATTGGGGCATGTTTCTGTTGGTCTTTGATCATCCTAAAGGCTGTCATAACTGTCGCTGTATTCTCAGTGTTCTGGTCACACTATCTTGTTTCTATTGAGAATTCTGTACTCTGCGATTTAACATTAATTTGCCAATGTTTGCCAGAAAATATTCTTATTATAATTTGCTGATTCAAGTTACTACTAGGAGACACTGCAGATTGATCGATCATCTTCCTTTCATCATATTTTAGCAAAAATATGCAGTAAGCTTCAAAAGGATTGATTCCATGAAGATGATAAGACGAGGAACTCGAATAAAAGATCACGAGGACAGTCTTCATCTACACTTTGTTCGTCTACAGTAACAAAACAAATTCATGTGTCTCCCATTACTAGAAACCAGTGTCCCATTAGCTACGATTAGACCTCTGATGAGACCTGGTTCTTTTATCTTTCCACACTATGTACATATTTGATGTGTCATAGTTCCACAAGCACCATCATCCACGGAAGCCCTCCTTTTTCTAGCTCACCCAGGCAAGGAAGACGAGCACTCCTGCAAGTTCTGGGAAACAAGAAGATAAACCATTCAGCAGAAGAACAAAATAGACTTGAAGGAGAAATTGAAAGGTTGATCGAGAAAGAAGCTAAGAGAAAAAAACACATGGATGAAGAACGAGCAAAGTGAACTATGCGTACCGGTGAATTCAAGCAGGTGCTCCGCAGCTCATGTTTTTAGCTTCACTGCTGCATGGGAGACAAAGTTAGAGATCCATACCAACCTGGACATTTCACAAATGCAGCTTAAAATTTCAGGATTCGGTATTTATTTTTGACGAATACCAAGTGACTGACAGCATCAAATTGTTACTTATGGTGTGAACAACTCTTTTGAATCTTTTTCAAATATAATTTCTAACTACATTCTTGTGAGATTTTTCAAGTCAATGAATGTTTTCCTCCAAGCATTTTATACAGCCACAGAACATACAAATGACATTTTTGTCAGGTAAAGTCAATTTGAAGATTCTCTGATGTCGCCTAAATTAGATGGTTTGGTTTCACTTGATCCATGCCGTTGAATGGCAATGACCACCGCGTTGCAACGAGCACAATGATATGAGCTGGCTGCTGCGCAGCGTGTGCGGAGACAATAATAGCAGTATCTGCAATTGGAGAAAGTAAAAAAAAACACCTTCATCAGCTTTTTATATGCAACTAGAAAGCATTCTGCATCTTGTTTAATATGTTCCACCTCCCAATGGTATTGACAAAGCTTTAGAGAGCATAAATAAGAAAGGACTAATCGAGGATTTTATAAAACACAACTGTTTGTCAACCTATTGATATAGTCATTGCTCATATCCCATTCACTGCAGTCAAATTTACTAAAAACAAATAGTTGAAATACATACAGCCTTGTTATTTGATTGTGGTTTAAAATTGTATATATAAAAGTATCCTATAAAACTCTCTTACATATTTCGACTCTAAAAGAACTGAGATACAACAAGCTTCCATATAAGAAAGTTTATTCATGTCGAAGGCATGCATAATCTACAGAGCCACCATATTGGGAAGAGAAGAAAAAACTAGCTTCTACTTACCAAATGACAGATTTTGAGGCAATGTAAGAACTCATGACATATAATACACTGTAAAACCAATGATTGCATTGCTCGAAATTTACTGTCAATGTAATTAATGTATGAGACATTAACTATCGTCTATTGCTCAAACCTCTATATTTCTTTTACAAGTCCAATCTGTAGTGATATAACAACTGTGACAAACAACCCTCGCCGTGGCGGTTGCTATTCATTTTAGGCACCTGTATTTAATTCAAAAAATGATATAACAATGTTAAATGATTTGAACATCCTCAACAACCCTCCTTTGCTACCTTAAAAACTCTAGCTAGTTAAATCTACAGGTTCTAGAGTTCAACTCCGTATAACAAAAGAGTGTTTTTACTTGTTTCTCGCACATCTCATCTTTCTCAATCTAACATTAACAAGGTTCCATAGAGCAAAATTATGTCAGCAACTCATCCTACAAGGCAAAGAAAAAGGAGGTGGAATCTAAACAAACAGCCTCAGATATCTGCAGATTATTAATGTGTGGATATCTTTAGTCTACTTTGACTAATCCATGTAAGCATACATTATGAACAAGAAAAAAGTTTTGATTGAACTGCTTTTTTTCTTTGGCAGCATCATATTTGCATCATGCACAGGATCTATCTGAATCTTGTAGTAGAAAGAAACTAGGAAATAACAACAAGTAGACACCCAAACCAGTTAATATCACTATTACTCGAAGCAATGCAATTCTACCAAAGGAAAACAGAAATACCTGTGTTGACAAGGAAGTGCCAGAAAAGGAATTGTAGGATTTGACTGACATATGGGACACTCTGCTTCATTTCCAGAAGAATCAGATGACTTATTTTTTGAGAATGGAAGAAGAAATCTCTTGACCGAAGATGAGTTCAAAAGAGGAAGAAGCAAAAGCAACATCTCCTGCACATTACTAGTAAGTTCAGATACTTACCAAGTGCTTTTCATTTTGCTATATGAAGTTCTATCAAGAAAACCACAGGTGAAACACTGATGTAAGAGCAATGAGCTAGACTGGTGATGATGTTGCAAGCTATTGAGCATAGTTAACATGGAGTTGTGGACCTTCCATTGTATGGTATAGACCACAAAATGTCTACCAAGTGGATGTAGAAGATTAACATTATCTTAATTTCCATCAAACATGCTGCCCAAGGGTTTTAGTTAAATCTTCTATTTATAACTGAATATTAATTTAGTTGTTTCTGGAATCAATAAACTATTCTCGTTACATCTACATCAAACATGCATTGAAATATGGACATGAGAATATAATACAGCAGCCTATCCAAGTATCTGATCAGAAAAAGAGATAAAAATGGAACTAGAGAAATATATCGGAAAAGAAAATTCTTAAAAAAATAAGATACTCGTGTTGTAATGCTGAGAGATTGTGAGATACTGGAAGTCCACTAGAAGCACAAGAATCATAAAAACCAGAAAGACCACTTCTTATGTTCAATCATTTGATAATGGAAGAATATAATTAAACAATCAAGCATCCGAATAGCAGACATGCAAAAATATATATCTTGAAACATCTTATAATAATATACTTGAAAGAGTCAAGTAACTGACTAGCCAACACATAAAAGTATGTTTGACCCAACTTGCGGATGTGGACAAGAAAATATTGCTTGAGCTTAAAAGACAACCTATCCTATTCAACTGCTTATTAGTGTTTGTGCTTCATAGTAATTGTAGTATACCTCTACTTAGTACACATTCCACATATCCCTCTGGTTGGTTAAGTTGGCTTTCAACTCTATAGATTCAAAATAAACTGCATCTTTTACTAAAAAAGGATGCACTCACTTGACATTGCCTTGTGAATCTACACATTGTCTGGACATGATTTATCATTTATCTATCAAGCCTTTCATTTTCTTCTAACATTTTAACTAAGTTTAGTAAATTGTTTCTTTATTGGCAAAGGTAGCACCTATTTAAAAACTGTTACATTGTTTCTAGAAAAAAATCGCTACTGAGAGCTTGGTCAAACCAAGGATGCTGAACCAACTTTCCAGCCAAGAAAAAATCTCAATGGCATTTTATGTAGTATCTAGATCTACCACTTGCGAATAGGATGAAGAATGGAATGCTAAAGTAAAACAATCATGAAGTATGCAAAATAAACAAGATAAATCAAGAAATGGTCTATCAAGCAACACAGTGAAGTTTTGCCAACTGATTGATGGTGCATTAGTGATCTTAAAAATTGGAATGCCAAAAGGGAACATCTTGAATCTACCTTGAAAGGGAAAAAAAATGGTGGCTTGAAGCAATGATATCGGAGTAATAAAACTAGGTGTTCCAATGAAGATATTATCATTAGCATGAGAAATATATGGTTGCCTATTAAGTTTAAGAAACAATTTCATTTTGCATTTCTTTTCTCTTTGTAATAATCTTGCATCTCTCTTTGGATGTCATAAAATAGTCATAACAGATTCCTCGTATTTACTTTTGGTTATGAATAACAGTTACACTTTCAATATGAAGCTGGAAAAGGGAGAAGCCTCATTTGAGTTACTGTTATTCATAATGATTCATAAAGTAGGTGACACTGGAAAAAAGTCAGATGAAATGACAAAAGCAAATTGCAAATGCATGATGTAGAGGGAGATCATTCCTTTGTCTCCATCTTTAACAATATTGCAATGAAGGGATGTCAAGAGATTTTCTGTGTCATAAAATCTAACAAAGGGATATAAGTTACAGTCACTTCAACCTAGAAATGGCATCAGCTAATTGTTGGTTTCATGCTAGGAGAGCTCTGCATGGTCTCCAAACATGCTAAATTCATCATTAATATGCCACCAATCAAAAGGAGCTATGTCCAGGAAAGAAGCATATTGATAGTCAATGCTAACTGCCAAAATAAATGCTTAAATGAAACAAAGAGCTCTCAATGTGAAAAGTATTGGCATTCAACATATTTCAGGAAAAACTTACCGAAAATTCGTTCCACACTAATTGTCGATTCATGTATTCAAAACTAACTGCTCGATTCATATTGGGGTTTCCATACACAAGCCTTGCTCTAAGAACCCTTTCAATAATACTTCTATACCTGTATCACCAAATATCAAGGTTTTGAAGAACTAGTAAAGACAAAACTTAAGCCATGTATGCACCCCATATCAATTTAAACACATGAAATAGACAAAAAAAGTTGCAACCTAGTCTAAAACCAGTGTAAATTTGACTTGCATATCCAGGCCTTCATCAGGCACAACAAGGCAGATTCTGGATGAACCTCAACATGGATGCAGCTTGACTCATCCATGGTAGTATTTAAGTAGCTTTAACAGGGTCCAGATACAGATCTAGGTGAGGTAATGGATTCAAGTGTGATTATGTATTCATATGTGCATCTCTTGTTTTATATATAAATATAAATATAAATATAAATATAAATATAAATATAAATATAAATATATATATATATATATATATATATATATATATATATATATATATATATATATATATATATAGTCTCAACAGATAAGAAAAAAGTAATTTTATTTGCATTTTAATACATATATGGAAAGTCACAATTTTTTAAACTCCACTTTATAAGAGTTGAGAGCTAAAGTGGTGGTTATTCTTCCTATTATGGAATATGATTTGGGATATATGAATCATGATTCCAAAGATGAGCCATGAATTCCAAAATCAGGAATCATAATTCACATAAAGCCTCCAAATCACAGAGATAATGAAGCAGGTGCATTAGAGCTAAGCAGATTCCCACTACTAGTAGTTGTGAAATGACCCGCCTGGATTGGCTGCATTAGTAGTTGTGAGCCCTTTCTTTTAGGCTTTATTATCATTTTTTGTTGTATAGTCTTTATTAGTAGGTTTTCCAGCAAAAAAAGCTCCTATCTAACATCATCTTAATGTCATTAAATAAACAAATGTGAAAATATCAAATAATTTAATTTTAATTTTAATATTGTATAAAAAATAACTTTATATGTTTTCTAACTCATTAATTTATGTTCATAATTTGTATTTTTTTCATGTATGTAACCCTTGTATCTTATTTTCTTTTGGCTTGCCAAGTCAAACACTCACATATGCTGCCAAACCAGCCTCTCAAATTCATAACCAATAATATTGTTTAGAACTAAATTATATGATTATACATTCTATATTTTCCAAGTAAGATATAGTGTTATCACTCCTTTTACCTTTTCCATGACCTTGTTTAGAAAATTCTTAAACCTAATTCATACAAGCAGCAACAAGTGTGCCAGATTTGCAAACATACTTTACAGGCACACCAGATTTAAGATTATGTGCATTAAGGGCAGCCTAGTTGATTCAGGCAGATATGAAAGATCTTGACACAAAATAGCCCTAAAACCTTACCTTCCAGAATAAAGAAATATAAGTAAGTTGCAGAAAGAGGCAGCTTTATATAATCCTTCGATGCGCTGTAACAAAAGCCAGGATTGGCGTGCCAATGATCTCTAAATCATAGAATAATATACATCAGATATATAAGTAGCCAACTACAAGCAACTTGACAAACATGAAGGAAAAAATAACCATCAGAACTGGGAAAACTAACCTGTTCAGAATCACCCCATCTGCGAAAAGCTGAGAATGATTGCACACGGGACCATAGATATTGACCACCAACTGTGGTAAGGCAGTACCATATCTTTTGGGAAACAGAAAGCCCAGGTCCTTCAAGCCCAGTTCTAACTGAAAGGTAATCACATAATTAACAGAAATAGTTCAGATAAACATCATTAGGGTTGTGAATGTTAAATACAATATGATAACACAACTCAACCCCAACATGATAAGGGACATAATCGATGAGAGATCCAAAATCAGCACATACAAACATGCTTAACCTAAAATTGTCACGAAATAACACATACAAAAATATACATAATTTAATTGTTAAATATTGTTGAACTAAATTGAACATAAGATAAAAAAACTGAATTGACATGAAAATTTTCACAAATACAACAACACAACTTTTGTCATCCCTAACCATCATGTGAGATAACTAAATTACGAAGAGAATATTGACCCTAGTCAAACTTGTAAATTCTCACTATAATGCTAACTCTCTTTTCTCTTTGAATTAGCCTCAGATCAGATCCTAAGGGGACTAGGAACAGGCACAAGTACGTGTAATAAAGGCACTATAAGCATCTTTGAATAATTTGAATTACTACTTTCTCACATATAGATAATTCCCATTACTGCTGAGAAATGTTTAAGGCATAGAAATAACCAGAGCAGTATGAATTCTGAACTTGCACCTCTACCACATATAACAAATATCAAGCCATATCCTCTGCAATCAGAATTGAACATACCAATGTATAACAAGAACAAGCAATTTAGTGCCTCCACCAAAATTTGATTTTCAAACATGACAATCAACATCATTGATTCATTCATCAACTTTGTGATGTTGTTCTGCAGTGCTGTTACATCTATTAACTACTGCAGCAACCTCGACCTAACACCAGCACCTAACAGCTTATGCCTGCCTTCAATATATAAACATGGTAATAACATATATAACTTTTATTCCATTATATTCAAGTTGTAGATGATTGATGCTAGTGAATATTGCAGAAACAAGAAACAAAAAACTTCAACAAAGACACCAAAGGATTATATGGTCACTTTCTTAATCTTATACATTCATCTCATTTGTATTTCTTACTTTCATACTCCAAGAATGCCATTCTACAAAGATTTGAATACTTAAGTCAAAAATCAGAAGATGATGAATAAAACTTACATTTGGAAACAGTGCTCAAATTAAGTGACGTGTAGGGGAATTATGAGAAAAACACACGGTCATCTTTGAACCAACAAATGCACTTGCATGCATACAAGCACAGAACATGGTCCAGGTAATCGGTGGAAATTTGTCTATGACAATTGTGGTTGCTATCTTCGGTGCATACCTGAAACCTGTATGTCATGCTGACTAGACCAAGTGGAAAATTGCAAACCAGCAAGTCATCCTCTAGACTCATGTGAATTCAGTAACTCTTAAGAGCCGGGCGGAATAAACATATTCGTTATACACTACGGTGTGCAACACATGGAGAACTTACACAAGAAAGAGGACACGAACCTGCTTTGCCTCCAACGGGCACAGCGCGCTCATCTCTGTACCTAAGGTTCATGAGAGCATTCCCTGGGGTGGGCTTATCTACCCAGATAGAGAATCTCCAGATCAGAAACTCAAGGAAAGCATCCAGTTCTGGCTCGTATTGAAATAAAAACCCTGGCTAATTCCCGAAAAAGAAGAGAACACCAAGGTTACCGACCAGGCTCGAACCGAAACCAACCAGCATCCAAGATTCAAGATTCCCAGGGTTACCTTCATCAAGGAGAAGACTCTGACAAGCTGCTCCTTCAACATGGCGGACATCTCCACATCCAAGCGCGCCGCGTCGAACTGGTTAACCCGAGATGTGGTAACCTGGATCGGCAGCTGCCCATCCACAAATCCACCGATTTCAAACAATCTTGCTCGAACTTTGAAACTCTCTAACATGATCAAGAACCAAAATAACCATATCGAACCTAAAAGGGCAAAACCTGAAAGGAATCTCGCAGGGACTTCCATCTAGGGTACGATCGTTGGTACTCCTCGACCCAGGAGTACTCGGACGGGGGATCCGAGCTCGGAAATGACAGCGACGATGAGTCGACAGAGCGACCGGAGGAAGCTAGAGTTGCTCGGTCGAGAGGCATCGACGCGGCCGCTTTCGCTTCTCTCCTCGAGTCTGGCGAGAACAACCGAGAGGTCACGGAAGCGGACGGTGTCAGATGCTGGAGAGCAATTTGGTAATTTTATCGAATGTTGGACCCCCTACTCTGCTTCCGGTGACGTGGGTGGGGTAGCTGCCATGCAAAGAAGTTAGGATCCTCTCCAAAACACACGAAGAATTAGATTCCTTTCGTTTCTATCTCGACCTTTCATGAGTCCGTATCTCAGTGCTAACATCGTCCATTAAAACAGTTGGTTCAAGTGCTAGAAATGGACGGCATAGATTAAATTCAGAAAAGGAGGACAATTGAGATGGACCCGATTGGATGATTTCAATCCTTGGTACGATCTGGACGGGATCCCCAATCGCGGATTAGTAAGATTCCCGTGGTTTACCAATGCCCGATTTCAATTAACTTTGGCGAACTCCGACTCACGCGAACGGTTCTAATCATTGGATTCGGACCGCCTTAGTATACGATTACCATAAAGATGGGACACGTAGGAGCCTTTTTCTCACGATCACGAATCGATGGCAAATGGACCGAACCTAACTTGGTCCGGTCAAGACGCGTCAACAATAGTTGACATCAGCCCACGAAATCTATTATGCTTGCTTTACTCTTTTTTTATTATTATTTTGACTAACAAGACTTAATATTTTTGAGGGATTTTTAATATGGTTTGTATGATTTAAAATTATTATGATCATTCTTGCGTCACATCACCATCAGTTCGTAACACTCTATCGTCGGTAACATATTGTTTTCGATGACTCATCATGTTCAGAGTAACATTTGATGATTTTGTTAGATTACCATCACAAAATTAATTTTCACTAAAGCTTTATTATTATTACACGTGGAGGTCTAATAGATGGGCCACAGTTGGGCCCAACACAGCCCACGTCAAGCACCACTTAAGTGACGACCGCGCTTGGAAGGGGTGTGAGTTTCGACCACCGCGGCAACGGCGGCTGCGTTCCTTCGAGTCTCTCCACTTCGACTGTACCAGTGAGAGAGCGCAAGTTGGTGACTCGATCCGATCTACTTGCAATCCTATTCGATCTCGTCTCATTGTGGCAGTCTGGTGACGTTTTCTGAGTCTCGAAACCCTCCAAACTCATTCTTTGGAATCTGATGATTCTTAGTTTGTCCGAGTTATCGGTAAATTCCGACAACACGTTTGCCATTAGATTTTGGTTTCTCGTGTTTCTGTCTTGTGAACTCTTATCGGTCATATTCTACGGATCATATTAATCATCCGTGCTGCTTCACATTCCAAACATCGAACCAATAATTATTGTAAGGATTCAGTAATTCCATCTTATAACTTCCTAATCGAGAAATTGAGACTCCATTTTGCACAATTTCTGTAGTTATTGAACGTTGTAAATGTTTCTTGAATGTGTTGTCTACTCAGTAGATACTTTATTGGCTCAGATAGATATGAATTAGTATTTCTCTTTACGACATCAAGATGCTAGATGATGGTCGTCATGATTTATCCTCTTTTGCAGACTGATTTCGAAATGGAACACCATGTTATGATTTTTTTTTATAGAATAAGACATTGCAGAAGGTGAAACAATTGTGCTGTTCTCCATGTCATATCATCAACTAACTTCAGTGCATGCTGATGCATCAGACAGGGTTTGCAAACCAGGTTCTTTTTTCCTTCTCTATGTCTAGGCAAATATAGACATGCACAGATGTAGCTATAACTCACAACTCATTGTTATTTAAGCAATAAGAAATTTAGATTGATTTTTTTTTTTTTGGTGCTTACTGATAACTCTCTACTGATATTTCTTGTTACACAGGTGTAAATCTCAGCTCGATGTCACAATTGTTATCATCTTAACAAAGGTCCTAAATGGTAACATGCATGCTATGTCATCGTCTTATATTTAAAATTCCATGAGATTCTGGTTTTTCTGCCATCATCATGCCGACACCATCATCACAACAAAATAACAAATTTGAACACCAAAATTTAGGTATGCAAACACACATACAGACCGACATGGCAGGATATTTTGGTGGATTCAATGATTTCACATCAATACCAGAAGCAGCAAAGTGGTGAAACCTAGCATGAGAAGATTGTTGGTTGGTCATGAAAGAGAAGAAGCCGTTTCATCCATCCATTTATTCCTTAATCCATTAGTGGTGGTATCTTTTGGCTTTCTGGACAAGAGAACTTCATTTTCCAACTTTAAGACTGGCTTAAGATGAATTTTCATTTCATGTGTAAGAACAGATATAAGAATCATGGATATTCTGTGAAATGCTAATATTTTTGGTTTTATCCATTGCTAGAGAAAGCAACAAGGATGGAATATTTATTACGACTCTTGGTTGTTCGTAGCTTATTAGGAACTCCATTCCATCTTTCTGCTAGTTTAAGAAGGTTCAAATGACAAGTAATGTTGCTTAACATCCATTACAATGGGAAAACTAGTCATATTTTGTGAAAGAAAGTTTAGATTGTTTCTCCTTTTTGAGTCACAATTGTTTAATGTTTTGACTTAGTGGATATGTAATTGCGAGAAATTTGTTTGCTGAAGCTACTAGCTGACATGTCCATGATATGAATCAAAAATAGCTTCATGCTGACATGAATATTCTTTGCTGCAGTCTTAGCTCACACCAGTCTTTCAAGTGGGAATACTGCAAGGCACTCTCAGTTCATGTGAAGTTGGAAACCACCACACCCATTTCCTACTTTACCACGGATTGCAGCTTCAAGGACCTACATATCATATGCAAAAGATTTTAGTTGTTTGCACTTTTTTCTCATTATAGTTGTTGCACTGGTTGCCGTCACGTTACTAACATGGGCCTTGTTCGAGAAAAAAGATTTTCCTAGAAATTGAGGTATATGTATTCTCCACTTCCTATAATGCAGTGAAGTTGTGTTTTCTTACAATGACAAAAAGAACTTTAATGATCTTCTTTTTCTTTTCAAATGTTTTGATTGAGTCAGTAAAACTTTCATTAGCTATGTTTAGCATCATATTTCATTGAAACCTTGATTTTTATCTTCAGACCACTGGATTGGACTAGTTGTGCAAGCAATTGCAAACCACTTGCAAAAATATTTTGGAAGTTTGAGAAGGCTCTGCATATCTCTGGAATTGCCATAAGCCTCTGAAATTGATGTGTGAAATGTGATCTTTGCCTTGTGCACCAAAAATTTTCTTTTCATGTCATGCTTTGCTTCTTGCCGACTGATCTAGGTGAAGGCTGTGGAGGCACCAGGGACCGAGACCATATTTAGTGATTGCTTTTTCGGCCCACTGTTTCAAGCACAGCATATGAGATTCGGACAACGACCGGCACCCGAGCTGGCATTTGGACAGGAGGTAATTACTTTCCAAACTTCTCTAAACTGTTGCCTTAATGGGGTCCTTCTGAATTGAGGGTTGTTTTCAGATGCCACTATGATTTTAAAGCTCCAACCAACCAAGCGGACCGGTGGCTGAGCTCCCTGGATGTTGGCATCAATTGCTATTGAAGGTGGCATCAATTATCATTCCCCTCCTTTGGTGGATCCTACCTGCCACATTACCAGGAACCAAAGTGCTACATCATGAAAGTGATCGGCTCCCCTCATCACTCAGGCTTGATGCTTATCCCCGTCAGGTCTCAGTTATGTTGAAGCTTGGTACTTCGAGACCCATGTGGTGACGGTGGAAGTAAAGAAGTCATTCATGGTTGTGTGTGTTCATGTTTCAAGGGGACACCCTCGGTGGAAGTTTTTGGTAAGCATGGTTACTGTAGTAAGAGATGTGAAATGTCCAGCCACTGTCGGGATTAAACCGCTTTGGATCAAATTGCACATCTTGAACTTATTGAGCAAGTGTTCTTCAATTCCTTTACCTTATGATTTGTTTATTCTAGGGTGCCTCGAGTCAAAACCTTAGATATTAGAATATGTACATTGACCCTTGCCAAATTTTGTATTGATGAAAACTTCATGCACTTGAATATAAATTAATACTGTGAAGTTGTAGGTAAAATTATTCCTCAAAAAAGATTACCATTCTTTGGTGCTGCCCATATATTCACGGTGATTAAAAATCTATATCAGGATGTCATTGTTACTGCTAATGTAGGCAACAGTACTTTAAAGGGGTTTTAGGCCCACCCTTATTCTCCCATGGGGAAGAACAGTACTAAAAAGGAGGAAAAGAATTCCCTCCTTTGTTCCACAAAAGAAAGAACTGAAACCATGATCCAGTTTGACAGAGGAACAAAAACAAACCCTAGTTTGAGGTGGAGCTGCATTCACTTTGTTCCATATGCCACCTACACAAAGCTTCTCTTCCACCTAAGATTCACTACTAGCTAGGCTGGTCCTCCTCGACGAATGAAGCAGCCCAAATCTCCTGCTGATATCCGTGCTCGAGCATTTGTCACCTACTGATGATTGATTGGTTCCCGCAGCCCTACCGATCTCAATTATTGGCCCCTATCGCTGCGTCCGACGCGATCCAATCGGGCCGGACCACCAATTCTCATGGCGTTTAGCCACGGAAGCCACATCGTGCCGTCAATGTTGGGTGCGGATCCCCGAAGCAATCGCCCTACAAAATTGAATCCAATCGGTGACCTACCGCGTAAGATCAGCATCGGGGACGACGCCGTCTGATTTGGCGCCTAATTCTAATCTGATCACACAACGCACGGGATTCAAAGCCGTCTCCATACGGTGCTCCCTCCCTCCCTCCCCATGTGGGGGTTGGGGCGAGCGACGTGCCAGAGACAGTAGACTCCACCGTAGCATTTAGATGATAGATGGGTAGGCCATGTCGCGCGGGACCCACCGTGTCGAGAGCCGGGGGACAGGGTGGGCCCACGCGGGGATAAAATAAGAGAAGCGAGTAGAAAGAGCCGTGCACAGGCCGCAAACGATCCGCGAGCGCCGCTTTCTTCTTCCCCCGGAGTCCGCTCGCGCTGTGCTCGAGGACATCGACGCTCCAACGACACCCCGAGGCGAATCACGCTTTTGAGGGACGTCGACACGAGCCATAATTATCCTTCGAATTAGAATTGAATTTTAGACATTTTGATTCGATGATCCAACCAATTAATGCGATCCCTCTGTTTGCTCCGCGTGCTGTGGATAAGAGCGAAGCTGGTTCATTCGTTCCGGGTGGGTGTGAATGGGTAGAGACGAAGGCAGACTTGCGTTCTCTCCTTTCACGGCCGCATCGTTGTGGTCCAAAGCGTTTCCCCAATCCACCCAAACATCCACCTTTTCCTCCTTTAATTAAATGTCGGCCACGCGTCCCCGTGCAACATCCACGGGGCCTTCGTGTCGCCCTCGAGACAGGAGCCTCGCTTTCCCGCCCGCCCCATCGACGCACACGACGCCGCCCGCCGTGGGTCCCTCTTTCGTCCTGGTGTCACCAGTATTCGAGGGCGTCCACCCCACGTGCGCCACACGTGTCGTTCGGCTTTGATTGACCCGGATACGTTTCGGGCCGTCGCGGTCGGTGTCGGCAGTACGGACGTGACAGGTGCCGGTCGGCCGGCTCCTTATCGTCGCTGTCGCCCCCGCGGCCGCACCGGCTGTACCCGGTTGCCGGTTTGCCGGGGTCTCGCCTCGACGACAAGGAGATGGCATTAAACCCAAAGATGGCCACTAATTGTCACGACTAAGAAGACGAATTTATGTTGTTGGATAAATTAAAATCGAAAAGAAATAATAGAGACGTCAACTATTAATCTAATAGGTCAAATTGGGTCAAAATTCAAGAGAAGAATCATAAAAATATACTTCTCCCTTTTTTCACCTGAAATCATGCAGAAAAAACATTTTTTTATAGTAAAAAAAGTGAAAAAGGATAACTTTATCAGGGAACATTTGAGGGAATTCCCAGAAACTTGTCGGTGCGGTTTGCTTCAAAAGGTGAAGAAAAAGAGAGAGGAAAAAGCTCTCTTTTTTTTGTTGCTTTTAAAAATATTTTCTCTTTTTTTATTATATTTTCTTAAAATACTAAAAACAATACGAATACAAATTAGGATATCATTTTTCTTGTGAGGAAAGCTCAAGTATTTTGCTAAATGTAGTCCCCATCTTGATGAAATCTTAATGTCTAAATTTTTTTATTAATAGATATCAAAAGTGATGATTAATCGACTGTAATAGGTAATTCCAAAAAGTAAATCCGGTCCATTTAATTAAACAGTAAATATCATTTTATGCTAAACTAACTATAATATAGCCATAGGAAGCTTCTCCCCAACGACAACAAAACCCAACCCAAAGGTGTTTCCTTTTTGTTCTGGTTCTCTCTCCTTTCCTCGCCTTCTTTCTTGTGATTCTACTGCTGCTACTACGACTCCCAAATCATCACCACTTTGATGTTCTCTGGTGCTCTCGACGGAGGTTGATGTCACCGCCACTGGAACATGACTACATAGGCCTCTCGGAGGTGCCTTCCGCCGCCGTCGGCGGCGGGGAGGAAGGGGCCCTCAACCTCAAGGCCACGGAGCTCAGGCTGGGGCTCCCGGGGTCGGTGTCGCCCGACCGCAAGGACAAGGTCGGGCTCACCCTGGAGCTGCTCCCCAGGGGCTTCGTCTCCGGTGCCAAGAGGGGGTTCTCCGACGCCATCGATGGGGCTGGGAAGTGGAGCTTCGCGTCCGGAGAGAGTGGATCTGAGGTGGACCTGGGGAAAGGCGGTGGCTTGTTCTCGCCGAGAGGGGAGGCGGTGGCCGGGGCCAGCGGAGGGCAGCTCTCTGGGCAGGGCACTGGGGGTAAGGATGCGGCAGCGAAGGCGGCCGGGCAGGAGCGGAAGGCCGCCGTACAGGTCGGTAGTTCCGTTGGGAACGATCGTGCGATGGCTCCTGCAGCGAAGTAAGTGCCCTAAATTGTTCTTGGTGTGTTTGAGGTATCAAAAGTCGAGGCTTTTGTGGGAAACTTTTGATCTTTCTGATGCATATGCTGTTTAAAAATCTGTTATCATTTTGAATATGTCATGTCAATTTGGTATGTTTTCTTGATTACTTCCTTTCTGAGAGAAGAGCGAGATTTGCTTCAACAAAAGTAGAATCTTGGTGGCAACGCTTTGGTGCTTTGAGAAACAACGGGATCTCCAGTGATACGACTCTCTACCGTCAATTTAACTGGGAGATTGTTTCGTTTGTTGCCGAATAACTTAATGAGGGATAGTCCTCTCCGTAGCCTTCCTTCCTCTTCATCTCTCCCCTGAGCAAAAGCCCAGCATCCATCTTTCAACCATAACACTCTGCAATTTCACCTGTCCAGAGATCCCTAGCATTTAAAATATCCACTACGACCTTGGTGATGTAACCTCCGGGTCCAAAACACAGACACAGAAGGGAAGAGCCGCCAATTGCAGATGAGGAAGAGGAGTTATGTTAAGTTACCAAAGAGTTTAAATACATGCATGTCTTTCATTTTCATAAAATTATAGTAAGAAGCTAGAATCCCAACCGGTTTCTTCCGATTGCAATACTAATTATTGCTGGTTGGGCTGTAGATCTGGTCCTCTGGTAAAAAAAGATTAATTTTCTGCTGTGTTGAACTGAATTTTTAAAACTTTTTTAATAATTTGGTTGGCTGATTTAGTGGGAAACAAAGCAAGTAGTACTAAAATACAAAAATTCTTTTCAAGCCACAGCCCTACAAGAGAAAATTTGGCAATTGGCACATTTAATTTTTGTAGAAGGATCAAGAGCTCATTATTCTATCTCGAGATAGTTTTCTTTGCATATTATTATACCGTAGCTTAGTCTTATTCTCCATATGAGATACCTTAAGATCATTTTATTCCTTTTGCTGATAATGGATCTTTCTTGTGCATTTTGTTTTCCTATTAGATATCAAGGTGTGTAGCCCTTAGTATTTCGAGCCAAAGATTCAGCTTTTTAATTTATCTTGTTTATTACAAACAGGGAAATTTCTGTATTAATGACCAATCAATTAGCTTTGGCTAGTTAATATTATGTAAAAAGATGGTTGAACTTTGAACATCTTATGTATGTGCCAGGGCACAGGTGGTTGGTTGGCCACCAATCCGTAGTTACCGGAAAAATACTATGGCTCCAAATCCATCTAAAAATAAAGATGATGCTGATGGAAAACAAGGGCTAGGGTGTCTCTATGTGAAGGTTAGCATGGATGGTGCCCCCTACCTCAGGAAAGTTGACCTCAAAATATATAAGAACTATAAGGAACTGTCATCAGCACTTGAGAAGATGTTCAGCTGCTTCACGATTGGTGAGTTTTGGCTTTTCCTTATTCTCTTTGAGCCTTGAGGATTTTTTTTCCCCTTCTAATGTATAGATGCCTTTTTACCAATAACAATAATATGTTATATGGCTCTTTTCTTGATCTACTTTGCTTAATAAAATTATTTAATATTATTTTTTGCAACACTTCTCATTTCAGTAATCGCTATCTACTGTAATTATCACCAAATATCAAACTTTTGCCCCACCTTTTCCTCAAAAATAAAAAGAAAGTCGCAGACTTCATAGATTAAACATATTATTCTACTCTCTCTCATTCCATAGATGGTGACCTATGGATCCAATTGCTATTTCTTGTACTTGAAATTCTTTTTAGCTTTCTTCGTCTGGGTTATTCATGAGTGTGTTTGGCAAGGAACTTAGACGTGGATAACTTTTCTTATGATTGAATTCATTTTTACCAGAGATTTAATGTGGACTAAATGATATAGTAGAGTTCTTCTAAAAAAATTCTTATTCAGTATCATTTAATTTTCTAAGAACATTTTAGTGTTACGAGGAGTTTACTTGTCTTTGTAATTTGATGATTTCAGGTCAGTGTGGTTCTCATGGAATACCAAGCAAAGATGGATTGTCTGAGAGCCGTTTGATGGATCTTTTAAA